TAGTAAAGCAAGCAAAACGCTGGCCTGCATCCATAGATGCTTCTCAAGCAAATCCCAGGACGTCATTCTCCCGTTGTACTCAGCCTTGGTGAGGCCGCAGCTGGAGTACTGCGTCCAGTTTTGGGCTCCACAATTCAAAAGGGATGTGGAGAAGCTTGAGAGGGTGCACAGGAGAGCCACATGCATGATTAGAGGTCAGGAAAACATGATGAAAGGCTGGGAGCCATGGAGCTATTCAGCCTGGAAATGCTCTCAGGTGTCATGGTACTTGGGAGACTGTAAAAATCCTTTAGCTACCTGTGCAAGGGTCTGTTCCAGGACAAGATCTTTCTGCTACATCCATTCACTTGCTGTGCCCAAGGTCCAAAGCAGCAACATTAATACACATAATCACCCTACAACTGCTTAGCTCCAATGATATTCTGCTCCACCTCTTGCTGCTGTTCAAGTCCAGCCAACCAAGCTCTCTTTCTCTCTCTGCACTCCTGACAGGTTAGAGCTAAAGCACTTTGTCCGGGCTACCTGGCAATGTCCCTGTTCTGTGCAGATGGAATTCACCCCTATGCATAAGACATGACACTTAGGCCTTCAGCTTTTTGTCTCCACAGGGCTGGATGACATTGTTCTGCAGGGCTGTTGCCTGCAATCTCTCACAAGCTCCAATGTGCTGACTGCAATCCAGTGAAATAATGTTGTAGCTCTGACGGTCCAAGCAACATGCAGAAAGGAAGATGAGGTGAAGTCATGTCTTCTCCTGGGTCAACTTTATAGAAGGGAAAGATGTTAGACAAGCTTTGGGGCACAAAGTGCCCTTCCTGCTTCTTTTCCAGATCCGAGGAAGAGCATTTTGTGCCTGAAAGCTTGTCTGACATCTCATCCAAGTACACAGCTGGTCCAGTACAAAATATGACTTGACACCGTGCAAATCCCCGAATGCAATAACAAGCAGCAAGCCAATGGAGGAAACAAAAGCTCAGAGAAATGACAGACTTTTGTATGTTGGCTCACCTGGGAATGCTGGTTAAATATGTCACCACATTCAGAAAGTCCTCGTCAGGTATCTCGCTGAACCCTGCATACTCTGGGAAGGTGATGATGGGCGCCCCATCCTTCCCTCTTCCTCCTGAAAATGAGAGATTGTCAAGAGGTCAAAAGGAGATTTTATGCCATAGGAGCAGAGAACTGGCAAGCACCTACCATGCCACGAAGCGTGGACACACTCCCCACCGAGATGCTGTCTGACCCAATAGATATGGTACTAGACAGTGATGAAGGAGGCCTGGGATCCAATATTTACCCAGATTTACCTCCACTGAGAATCTGACCCTTGGGTTCCCTTCCCAAATCTACCACTGACTTGCTGTGTGATTTGAACCTGGTTGAGTCCTTTCCCTTTCTCAACTGACCATTTGTGGTAACACTTTATTATGCCTTTGGGATCCGCCAATACCTGTGATCTGATCTGGGGACCAAGTTGTTTTGGGGCAGAGGCCAGGTCTCCCTATGTACGATACACATCACTTCACACAAAGCAACCCTGATCCTAACTAGGCCTCCAAGCACCATGGAAATAGAAGTAATAAAACTATGAATACTCATGAACAAGGAATAACACGACCCCAGGAGAAAGCTGCCCCTGAGGCTTTAGTTCACAAAAAACACCCAAAGAGGGGAGTTGTAGCCACACCGATGGACATTGCTATCTTTTTATCCTCTTATTATGCTGAATTGCTCTGTCATCCAGGCAAGAGAGCTCCATCCTATGCACAGGACGAGCTCCACTTCCTACAGAGTTACAACATGAAGGTGCTTTGCTGGATTCTCACTGGGAACCGCAGCACCAAACTCCAGGCTTGACCCTCTGCCAGACTGATCCAAATTCCCACAGGCTTTGGATGGAGAGGCAACCTGGGTGGCTAAGGCCTTTCTCGGGTTACCTGTTATGACAACAGCCAAAAGCCACTAAGTATAAAAGTAACTCGGCAACTAGGCATTTCAATAGCCTAGTGTCCACAATGCAAAAATCCCCAGTTTAATCCTCAAACCAGGTGTCCCCGTGATTACTGCTTGCTGTACTCCCCACCACGCTGTCTGGTAGCCGCCCCTGCTCCCCGCCACTCTCACCATCTCATAAGGTGGTCCCACAACCCCACTTGAGACTAGGGGCCACAGCCTAAGCTGTTATACGCCAAAATATCCTTCCTCTCCCATGGCAGTAGGCTCATCCACACCAGCTGAGAATCAGGTTCCTCTTAACTTGAGATAATACTGAAGTAGAAAGCGATTCTGTTTAACCACACACCTCGGTGGCCCTGCTGATCCCCAGCCAGCCCAGCTTCTCGCCTCTTTGATATAATGTTTCCCAGAGACCTGCAAAAAGGCCATTTTTCAGCTGAGATGCCTGGCAAAGCAGAGGCTGTATTTGGACATTTAAAACTTGTTGACCCCTTTGGTGCTCTTCTAAAAATATCAGACTATTTTAGTTACAGATGGAAAAGGCCAATGGCATGAAAACACCCAAGACTGTCTCCCTGCCAGGGGCTAGACAGTTCCAGAGAGGTTCAAACTGAGTCCCAAACAAAAGGCAAGAAACACCAAATATCATCAGTGCTGCACTGAACTGACTATGAAATAAATCTTATGGGTTAAAATAAATAAATCTAATTTGTTTATTAAATAAATCTGACCCTGTCTTAACTATAGGGGAGGGCAAATGCCAACTCCTGGCTGAGGGCTGTCCTTATCCAATCTGTCCACAGGCTGCAGTGGACTGGAATCGCCTCAAACCAGACAGAATTTACCTCTACTGTTGCTGCACTACTTCACCTCTACTTCCCCAATGCTGAGGAGAACATTAAAATCCTTGAAATCCTTGGTTAGTTTCAGAAAAGATATTTAGTGCCATCTTGTGGGAAAGAAGGGCAGTGCCATAGGAAATAAAATGCAAGTCCAGTTCAGTGCACGCACCCAGACATCCTTGCATCCTTTCATTCTCACCTTCCTCTCATGCTTTCACCCCTCGCTGCTTCAAGCGGTCTCTGCAGCACACCCAGCCCCTCCATCATGCCAGCAGCTATATACCCTTCACCCCTTCCTGCCACCCTGCATGCACCGTTCTGGCTTGGAAGGAAAGAGTAGTGCTCTCCCTCCCTTGCTCCTCTCTCCCCAACCGTGGAGCAGGCAAAGCGGTGCTACTCAGCTCCTGCTGCTCTCTCATGCAATAGTTCGAAGAGTGAGGTTCGACACAGCCTTCAAGCTGCGGGGGCTGAAAGCCCAACTGGTGTCAGGATGGACCTCGATCAGTTTGTGGAAGGGATAGTCCGAGGTGACTGTCCACGAGAGCAGAGACCGCAGCTGATGGCTTAGGTGGAAGTCCCCTTTGTTTCGGGGTGTAATTCATGAACACCTCATTTGGCGGATCCCAAAATTGGAGGCAGCTACAAAACCAGTTTCAGTTTCAACAAGGAAAGCAAAAAAGTCTTTTAAAGCAAAAAAAGTTTTTTTTTAATTCTCCTTCCCTTCCCCCCTCCAACATCCCCCCCCCAAAAAAAGCAATAGGACTCTGCCTGCTGATGCTTCCAATTTGAAGGATTCCTGAGGTCAGCAATATTTGGAGAATACTTCGAAGATGGAAAGGCCTCAGCCATTGCCATGCACTGAAATCTGTGAGACTGCATGGATGTAGCTGAGGGCAGGTTTGGGACTGGAAAGGATGATCATGACAGAAGCTTATAACCCCCAAAATGTGACATCACACCTAATAGCAGTAACACATGAGGAATGACATGGTCCCATCCCCACCCTGGCCTGCAGCGGTAATTCAGGCTGCAAGGAAAAATCTTGCTGTCAGTTTGGTTAACGAGGTAATGACAGGGGAGGGAAGCTCATTATGTATAAGAAGAGCTTGAAAGTGCTGCTGTGCTCCTGCCAGAGGATTTCCAGGCTTTTCAAAATGCCAGGGCTGTCAATGCCTTTCTTTTTATATAAAACTAGGATTTGCCGCAGTCTTCGCTATATACAGATCTCTATGCAAATTTCTGCAGATTGTGAGCTGGCGAATGACAGCCCTTGGGGGAAGCCACCCTCACCATCCGGGCAGTCACAGCCAGGCTTTTTCCAACTGCTTAAATTACTTTAATTGGCTCCTGAGGGTACTAGCAGGGCAAGGGATACAAATTAGAAACCAGTGAGGACAGCAGAGCCAAACCCTGCAGTCCTTAGGCAAAATTCCTGTAGAGGCTCCCATGCAGAAGGACTATATACAAGGAAGGGAGAAGGGGCAGATATTGGTAAGGTAACTGGTAGAGGAGGAAGAAAGGAACTGAAAAGGGCAATTTAAGGAGAGACTGAGGAGGAAAGGGAGTGGGGAGGAGCGTGCAGCAGTGAGAGAGTAAGAGGTGTTGTCCCAAATGTGAGGGGAGCGCAGATAAGGCATGAAGTCAATGAGGGGAGAAAAAAAAAAGAGGTCCACTGGAGCTGTGTGTGGCTATGGCACGCTGGTCTCAGTGGCCAGCTTCGCCTCAGGCCTCCTTTTCTCCCCAGCCTGAATGACCAGGTGCCCAGGGCCACGCGAAGGGTCTTGGAGACCCTGGAGGTGTTGCTTGGGGGCCTTTGCATATTTAATCATTTGACCGCCATGGCGACGACCATGCTCAATCATGTCCGCAGGCAAGTTCAGCGTATTTCGGCTCGGGCACATCCACATGCTCCTGCTTGGCCAGGCTCTTCGGTTTGCACCCTCCCCGGAAGAACATTACACGTGCCTTGTTTCAGCACTGGCTGATGCGTGTTGGGGCCCAGGGCCCAGTCCTGTGCTTATGCCTTACAACAGCACTGCAGACTCCCGCTTACATCCAAGGCGGCCTTCTGCACAAATGAATCTGGAGCCAGCCTCCAATTCACACCTCTGGAGCTGTGAAAAGATGCCTTAGTCACTCATCCCAAGGCAGCTATCGCCATGGAGCCACAAACTAAAGAGCAAGAGAAGCAAGACGGGTGTGAGGAGCTATGATTCAGGATGTGGGGATGTCTCACGTGCCCTCACTGCACCGATGTAAATCAGACCCTACATATTTATAGGAACAAATGCCCCATCTGTGTTTCTAGGAATCGCAAATAAAACAAGAGCACTTAAAACCTAATCAACAAGCACCGTGTGCTGTTTGTGTTTTGTCGTTAAATGGAACTTTATCCAATTTCACTTATATTTCAATTTCAGGCTCACATGCATTGCAGGTGCACTGAAAAGGAAGGTTTATTTGCTTTAAATACTCTTTCCTTTGTAATGAGAAAAAGAAAAAAAAGTTACAAGAACATTTCTACTGATATAAAATGTTGTTAAATCTCTGTTCTGCAGTGTAAGCTTGCGGTGGCATTTCACCTGACAGTGTCCTGGAATGGCTCTGAATTTAAATCACGTTTTAATTTGAGAACTAAGAGATGCTACAAAAGATAATTCTCCTTAACACGTGTCCCAGAAATCAGTGCCTGCTCCTTTTCTCCTTCTGTCCTCTCCAAAAGCCATAAAACTTGCTGCAATTAGCCACTTATCTCTATTTTACAAACTAATCCTGCTTCCACTGCAAAGAAGACTGCTGCGGTTCACTTCAATGGGAGCAGGATCTGGCCCTTCGCTGGGTCTCTGATAAAAACTAAGCTCTGCTAGCGTACTTCGTGACAGTGCCTCACATACTCAGGCTTTAGTCATGGGATTGGTTAGTGCTGCCGCTGGCAGATCAGGCTCCTTTCTGACAATGCAATTACAAATAATTATAGGGGAGAAACTGCAGATAAAATAGAAAGGGACAGCAATGCTGTCTTCTAAGGACACATTTATTTATTAATCCGTCAGCAATGTCAGGAGCAGGCCTGTGCTAAGGGCCCCTATTCTAATGCACGCCCACTTTTGCCTAAGAATAGCAGCATTCTAGCAGTCCCAGATTTTAACGTAATCTGGCTTTAAACCCTGGAAGAAACATTACGTATGTGTAATCAGCTGTAACTGTGTAGGTTCTGTCGCTGCTCCTGCAATCACATAGCGAGATGGGTATTTCTGAAAAGGGGGCATGGAAGGCAGCAATTCATAATTAGAATCTAATCATGTGAACCTGGTTTACCATGCAC